CAAACTGATTTTACAGGACCAAACATATTTAACTTTGGATAGTAGAACTAAAAATGTTTCCAAAGAGATCCTGTTGCTGATTATGAAACCTCTCAGTAGTCTTCCTCAATTTCAATCCTTCAAAAGTCTGTATTTATCGATAACCCATAGACTATCACATTAATCGTCCCATAAATGTACAATATGTAACATAAGATATGAGTGTGTAGAGTAAATATATCCATTATATCTAGAAGAGGGTATATATTTCCTCTTTATAGCCTTTATGTCATCATGACTCAATTTCTTTTGTTTAAATGTAAATCTAAAATGTAATCAATTGAATTTCAGCTCAATCAAATATTCATAGATGATGTCGGCAGTCGCATTCATAGTAATTGTGTGTAGATTCGCTACAGCATATCAGGATAATTTGACCTTGAACACGGTAATAAAGGAACATGTCGAAACAACCCGTGACCAAAACAAAGTAAATATACATGTTTTTATGAGCAGTAGAAAATAATTGTGTTAATTAAAACATCCGGTGACAATATGTCCAAAATCATATTATGTATATTGTATTTAGACACAATGCGATGACGTGAAGACGTCTGAGAGGAGGTGTAGTCTAGGTAGATTTTGAAGGCTTCAATAACCCCTGAACAGATGTTTCTCATATCAATTGCTTACATTAATCTTTATTTACATTAATGTCGATGATTTACAACAGTGATTTTTTTAATATCTATCGATTTACTCACGAGTTCAATAACAATGCTGAAAGAGAACATGGGTTGGTGTAGACATGTTACAATTTGTATGTTGATCACCTGATCATCAACATTTCAACCAAATTTCATGCGTGTACTTTCGCCATATGAAAGTCCACGTATCTGATTACATTCAATATAATTCGTGTTCGTGTGGACTCTTCTTATGTTATCTCTAACTACCTGAATTAAGCAAACTGTTTTCTGAAAAAGAGGAAGCTGACCTTGCACGACATTGATATGCCCTTTCAAATTTTGAACGTTTCCTATATAGATCTTTCCTTTGATCAGATTTTGACAAAACAAAGTCATCTTCATGAAAAAGTGTTTTTTCATGGAATATCTTCATTAAATAGTGTTGTTTCGTGGAACATCTTCATGAAATATTGCTGCATAATGGAACTTCGTCATGAAATAGTGTTTTTTCATGGAACATCTTCTTTAAATAGTGTTGTTTCATGGAACATATTCATGAAATAATGTTATTTCAACATCTACAGACTTTCAAATAAAATATTTTTCGAGAATGAAATCGTATTCATGATTGACACAAGTAGTCTGTGATAACGCTCATTGTCCTTGCATGAAAACACAAGTGTCTAAGACACTGAAATATCCACCTGCTATGAAATCGTTGTAATGTTGGTAGTTAAAATAGCAATCTTTCGTCGTCATTACCCAAAGGTCATATAAAGCTATATGTATGTCACAACAACAAGATGACGATACCCGCGTAAAGGAAAGGAATATATAAACCAAATGTAATAACACTAATCAGGGCAGTGATGTGCTGAAGATGGTCCTTGCTTAAAAGATGCTTAGTCCCAAATGCATCATTTCGGAATCGCTTTTATATCAGTCTAGAACAATAACATTATCACGATTGCTTCCTAAATTTACAGTTCTTACTTAATTTTACATTTCATACGCTTGCAAATGGTTCGGTAATCTGAAATGTTCATTGTTTCATTTTATCAATCTCAAATCAAACAACAAATTTCATTTCTGATAGTCCGTTTCTCTTAGGTACATAAGACTTGTTTCATTCTAGGATAGTATAAATACCACACTACAAAATCATATACCATTCTGTAGGAAAAGACATTCCAAATATTTTGTTTGTTTCTGCTTGAAGGAGTATGTTTCTATTGGTATATCTTTTTCTTGCTACAATAGAGGAAGTGTTGAAAAAGTCCCTGTACGTCTTTCTCTTGCCGTATTTCAATGAACATTTATGAAGTCTCGTACACATCTCTCATTGATGACGTTTTCACATTATGTACTCTTTTCAAACATGTAGTGGTTATAGTATTGATGAAGTTCATCCTTCTCTTTTGGTGTAGAAGAAACCAAACACTATCGCTTTCAGTTTTAAAAGCGATGTTGAGAAGGTCGGCGTTCTTGTCATCTGTCTTTGGCAGTGATAAGAGAAGTAGCAGTCGCATAGTTGAAAACGTTATCATTTTCTTTTCTTTTCTTGTAGTAATGTTAGTATTTCTTGTACGAATTTCTCTGTATGCAGTTAAAAGAGGGATCAGAGAAGTAGCGACAGTATGATTCCAGTTACAATTATTAACTTGATACATAAAGATGATCGACTTCCATACTTTGATTGTCTTGACACTCCGACTGAAGCTTCCTGTGACAATTTAGTATCGCCGCCCAACGACATAAACATTTGCCGTTGTTGTACAATAATAAATGTACATGTTATGGCAGTGATGTTTTGTAACTTGCAAACGAAGGTTCTCAAATACTGTCCTCTCTGTTTGATAACGGTACTGGTAATAGAAGTAGTTGTCGAAGAAAACATTAATATTTTTTCTTTTCTTTCTCGTGTTGAAGTAATGACAGTGTTTGATGTTGGCGTTCTCTCCCAAATATCTCTCTCTGCAGTAAAAAGACGGTTGGGAATTTTCCTATGTATAATGGCTGTACTAATGATGTCACATTCGTGTTGCTTTTATTAGTTTAATACCTGCGTTGAATTCCCTGCATGAACGTAACTGAAAGATTTTAAAATTAAATTCCATTTTAAGTTATTTCATTTTTAGGTTCGGTGAATATTCTCTTCTAGCTGTGCTGGTTCGTGCAGTGCAGACATGGTCTAGTGTCCTTCAGCACATGCCCCTGCGGCTGTTGAGCTTTGCATACTGCATACTGCACCATCTACATGTAACTTCTCCAACAGCGAGTGTATGAAATATGGTATACAGACCAAAGGCCAAAAAACAGAAAGAATTCATGATAAAACAAATTTCCATGTCTACTTTTTTATCATTATATTTATTTCACGTGTTGAATCTGAATTATTCAAACTTGCGAATTTCATTCCTGCATATAGATACAAGTTACGTGAAATTACATGAAATGTTTTTGCAACAGACCAGACCTGTGATATAGCTTGGAAAGATGAGGATGACATATCTTGGGATGATATATCTCGCGTGTGTTCAATGACCGAGAATTAATTTGGTTTCTAAATTCTAAACTCCATTGAGTGTTACCGAATGATATAGAGGATTTACAAAAGTCAATACATATTTAATTCAAAGTTTATTCTATGACCTGTTCAATAAAATCAGGTTTCTACAGCCAAGATATCGAAGAAAAGGTTTGCACGTTAAGTGTATATACTTCAGAATAATAAATTTGAATGTGCTTTTCGATCACGCACAGAAACAGTTAACAAAAACGTTAAGGTGCACATCTGGCTTGCTAATTGTCGTTTATGGTTTCATCATATGTTGGAAGACAATAAATATGGTAACGTGATGATATCGTTTACGTTTACTTACACACTGAAAACTTAGACTACCCATGTTAAACTACCCTCACGTGATCCTTTAAAATTTACGCACATTGTTCTATTTTGTTTAAGTGGAAGAGAAAGTAACCAGGGAATGCGATCAATAGCTGTTTTATGGTAATGAACACGCCTTTGTTTCCAGATGGTGTTACAATATAAAAATACACACTGTGCGTCATTGGGTATATATGCTTAATCTAAAACTCTAAAATCAAATTGTTAGATATATATATATATATAAACATGCTTCAAATGCACACGTAGTTTCATTTTATTGTGATACATTTTAACTTTAAAGAGAAATTCCTTGCACCTCTGATGTGACAGGTTATTATTTGAATGAAATTCAATTGTTCAGAGTGTTATTTAAGCAACTTTACACGTATCTTATGACGTAAATTCGGCGCATTACTGCACAAATGCGGTAATTACTTCAGGAGGTTATAAGTTGACTAAGCAAAGATAAAACCTTGATACTAGCGAAGATCCTAACATTTACTTGATATTGCAGCTTGTATGTAATATGAAATTCAAAAATGTCCTCAAATTATCAATTACAACTCTTCTTAATTAGACAGACAATATCACACCATTACACACAAAGACCAAAATATCAATTTGGAGATAATGTTCACAAACGTAGAAGAGGAACAGACATGACAACATTAAGACACCCTTCAATAACCTTTAAGATACACACATATATAGTCACTTCCAAAATACACAAAACTCAATTAACCTTTAGGACACACACAAATATAGTCACTTCCAAAATACACATAACTTCAATAACCTTTAAGATACACACACATATAGTCACTTCCAAAATACACAAAACTTCAATAACCTGTAAGATACACACAGATATAGTCACCTCCAAAATACACAAAGCTTCAATAATCTTTTAACATACACACAATTACATTGGGGGTTTATTTTTAAACACAATTATAATGATTTGGTTTTCTATATTACAACTTCCTATCAATAAATATGATTAGGCACAATTTATGTTGAAGTCTAAAATTTACACGTTAACACTTATATAAAAAAATCGCTTTGAAACAATACCATTTATAAGTCAGCATTTCCGATAAACCATGGCATGAAAGACACAAAACACGCCAATACAAGACTGTTACTATTCCCAGCACTGAAATAACTTTTAGTACATATATAAACCCAAATACAACACCCGTGTTTTATTTCCAAAAACACAATATACAGCTTCCGACGTGAACGAAAAACGGATATAAATGGCGTCTGAAAATCACGGAAATACCAGCCTCATAGGTACTAAATACTGCTTCGGAAACAAACACAACGCAGTCAGTGTACACAATGTATACCGAACATTAAAACACAATTACGATTACTCCTGAAATCAACACAGATAAAGTCCAAATTAAAATATATACAAAACAATTATTACTACTTACCATGTCCATGATCTGTATGAGACTGAAGCCGAAACCGACAACAACATTCTCGGACGAGTTGAACACGGGACGGACGCTGTTGTCATAAGTCAGTTTGTTAAAGAGTTTTCCCACCAATCTTTGCTCGTCGGGTAAGCATTCCGTACACAGGGCTAAACAAATAAAGAACAGAACGGGTAACTTGCTGTAGCTACCGGAAAGTTGGCATAGAAACATGTTTACATCCGGAGCTGACGCACAGGAAGTGTCCTCCTCCGAAACTGTCCTATTATCAGGCTGCCTAACAAGGTCCAAATGTACAATAAATGTATATATTTACGGTAAAAGTCGTGTGTCCAAAATCAAGAAATGATCTTCTTTAAGTCCTGCAGTAGATTGTATAGAGAGTCCACATTAAACATTACTTTTTAACTAGAGTCCAAAACTGAACAACTTCAATTAAAACAGAAGTTCACGTATAATTTATCAAGTTCATGACATGACATAATGATTACACAAGAAAAACAACATTTTCTATAAGTAAGTTGATCCAATTTTGTCCGATTTGACGAGGTTCCGAAATGCTGAGGTGATGGTTCAATTACGTTAACACGAACCTAAGAAGTTAATTGATATTCTACCGCGCTTCATCACATTTACACTATCAGATTATAGATGGATGGCTTAGTGAAAGCTGTACGGAATACACAGGCTCTGATGTAGGAACGACGGTGGTTGTCCGGTCGGTCCGAGCTTCTGATCGTCATCCCAGCGTATTCTCGGCAACACTAATACTCCCCACCGTAAGCTCGCAGGCTGGCCAGGCACGCCACAAATATCGAGTGTTACTACTTTAAACCTGAGCGAACTGATGTCAAAGTAGATTGTTGAATGGATAAGAAGTTTCATGTGTTTTGTTGTATAAAGTGTTTCAGTCATCAAATACAAACAAGAGTGTATTAGTAATAGTTTTATACTTTTAACAAACGGTTTATAACTACAAACACTTGTCAATGTTCTAGCCTCGCTTGACTTAAAAAAAAAAACACTAATCTAAATAGTTTTGATACGCGCTGTCGTTGCCTGGTGTTTTGTGTAATGTTCCGTTGCTCTCAACGACGCACTCCGTCCTGATCTCAAATAATAACTACGATGATCGAAGGTGCTTCACAAAAGGCGGATAAGCTTGTCTCAGCGAGGTTAGCTGGGGCACCATGAAAAACACATTTAATCGCCTCATTATGACAAGTTTAGTGAAAGTTTGATCGGCATGTCCATCAAACGGGGTGTCTAACCATACGCCGAAGACATCCATCTATAAATACGTCAGAGAGAAGACGCACAACATGGCGTTAGGTGTATAGCTAACCGCAACACTACATCATGCGACAATTTCTAAAACACGATCGTAACATCGAATGTGAGATTTGATAAAAGATGTACTCGCTAGCGACTTTTGTGTGGGAGTATATGCCACAGTATGTGCTGATCAAGATAACGTGTGTATATTACTGGTAGAAATCAAAAACACTGCTCATCCTTCCTCGACTTTCCTTCATACAGATTTTATATGAATCGTTGAAGAAAGAAGGCGGATATCGCGTTCACTTGGATATTGTGGTCTACATCATATTTTTTGCATCGCAGTTCAAATATTTTCAAACACATGTTTCGTTTAATAATGAAAGAAATCTCCCATTCGACTACAATCCGTTATTATTCATTTATTCTTTGGAACGGCTATTCCTAAATCTCGCGACTAGTAGTTTGATATGAAATCTCAGCAAAGCAAAGTACGAACGGTAATTACCTAACATTCATATCTCCCAAGCGGACTAACGGATTCAAATTTACAAACGATGTGGAATCTTTTCGAATAGATGTAGGACAGATAACAGTGGAATTTGGTAGTGAAAATCACAAAGCCGAATGGCGTTATATCCTATTGCTCCATTTAGACAGAAATTGCAGTTCTCGAAACAATTGACTGGGCTCTAGTCTTAAGAGTTTTGGGACAGTGCCGTCAGAGTAAAAGATAAAACATATCCAAGTTACGCAAAGCCGTGGTTGTAAACGACTTGTTAGTTTAACAGGACAGAAACCTGAAATATGAAGAACAAACCATTCTGGTATGTTCACATTAAAGAACACATGGTTCGGTGTATTTACATTTATATGAAAGAGAAACATGTCCTGGAATACATATGTTTCCCATCACAATACTCTTATCATTTTCTCGGTTATGGAGCTTTATCGTTGACCCCTATCAATGGTTCAGAAACATCTGATACTCATTTCCATAATTACGCGGACAAAATATCTTGCTAGAGTGGCCACTACATATAATGGAGTAGGTCATATGGACTCGACAATATCTGTTATATATATATATAGAAATGACCTTGATTTTTATATTTCCCAGCATTATCAGATATCTCGTCTGCTTCACCAAATACAGTAACAATCCGATTTATTAATGGTAGAAGGAGTGACTAGTTGCATGAAATGTCCATTTAAACAAGCATAATAACTCTACCAGAATCGTACTCCACACTTAACATTCCTCGCTACAGTAAAATACAGTATTATATAAACCATGTTATTTAGTTATTTACTTTTGACATTCATTTGGAAAAGATAGTACTGTTGGCTAACAAATTACAAGTCTGTGCTTCTATTTCCTCAGACCTGTACACAGTGACGTCATGTTATACGATGCTATATACTTATGTCTGTAAAGGGCGTTTTCTTTCCAGAATGGCTATTACCCTTATTTTGTTCCTACAGGTTTACCATCGGTAGCATACATTCTACATTTTTATTGAAAAGTTAATGATTTGAAATTAATATAATTCAACTCCATGAAACAAGAATTTTCATTGTCAACTTTTCACACAAGCATCTATAACAGAAACAAATTGACAACAAATTTATGTGTTTTTGTAACGGCACGTTTGATTGGCTGATACAGCGTTGTAAAAAAAATGTCAAAGACAATAATCTATCGTAAATATTAAAAATATCAAATTAGGATTAACATTCACTTTTCACTGCTATGTTATGTTATTTAACCGTTATTGGTATAGGTCGTTTCGCGGAGGGCAATGCGGTTTTTTAATGACTTAATAGCATTATAAATAAGTATGTTATTCATTAATCGAATATTTTCAAATATTTCCAATATTCCACTGATGATGTGGAATCCCAACACATTTACAAACGAACTTTCACTTCTAGCTTTCATTTTCAGTTATGATATTTCTTCTTTTTGCATATAAATATGCCATTTACTATAATTAACAACACGTTAAAATGACTACTTATTTTGTATGTATTTTGACAGATGTAAATATTGATGAAGGAGCACCACTCCGTCACATTTGTTTATCGAAAATTCGAATAAAGTCCTTGAAAAAAAAACATGGCTGTAATGCATTTTGTTTTAAATGGGTTTAAACGGAAATTCAATGTTTTTAAGATGCACGTGCCTCCATCCCTATCGCATACCTGGAGAGGAAAATACAACGATATCTATATTATAGCGCTGACATAAAGTATCCTTACTTAATTAGTTTAAACTAATTGGCATGATGTTTACATGGAAACCATCAAAACAGTATGATTCTGGAAGTGATCGGTTTATCGGTAAATTGCATGGTTATGTTGGCAGCACACCGCGACACAGCTGGTCTTAAATCTCTTAATTGGTTTACTAGAACTAAATACACACTTGAGTAAATAAAGTTTAGTAATAGAATAGTTGATTAATACCATTGCGGGATCTTTAATAAAATACGGTACCACCTTACATCATAGTGTATTATTCAGAATGTGTTACATACAATACTGTTAGAGAATGCAATAATAATATACAGGTTGCCTATAGAAAGATCAGAAAAGTTGTGATTGATGCCTGTTCCGAGTCAACATGACTAAATGCTATCTATATGTATATGACATTCAGTAAAGTATTTCCAGCACAAGTTTCAGCTTTAATCTTTTGGAATTTTAATTGCATCTATATTTCGCTACGCTACAAAATAGATTTTATCATCTTTGATTCACAGAAATCTATTTTCTTTATCATTGTGATTTGCAGACGAAATATAAACGGCGATTTTTTTATGTAATATAATAACTACTTCAAACACCAAGGTAAAAAACGAGGAAATACCTCTATGTTAAGATATATGTTCCGGAAGAGTAAGCGTCTTCTGCTTCATCGACGACATCTGCTATGTAAATCTTTCTTTAGTAAGCAATAGCACATTCTCAAATGAGAACAAAATATAATGTATACAACAAAGGAACCAACGGGCTAACGATCATTAAACACGTACTGCTTCATATTGTAAAAAGAAATAGAATATTTGTCAATGAAATTATTGTGGCAACTTTAAAACGTCTCCATGATTTTCATCTACCTGCAGACTTTGAAATTCTGTGTTGCCAGTTCGTTCGTCAGTTGACGACTTCTTGCATGAAAATCGTGATAATTGGAACAATCACTTAAATATCGAATCAACTGCCATATATAAGAACCATTTTATTATTAATGAATAAAAAAAATCGCAATAGGAAAATTGAAATCGTTATATTTCTCATACAGTTTGTTGGGAAGCTGTCCATGTTGGATTTGCTTTAGAAAAAGATAGAGAAAATCATCTGGTGTGAAAGAGTCTGTCATGTCCTTGATTCTGGTGTGTATATACGATGGATGTGGTCAATAAATTTCTAGTTACTTGTTTTTAAAGACAAGACGTCATCATTATATCTGAAAGTGAAGTTAAACAAATTCACAAAGTCTTTTTGGTCTGTTTTGATATAATTTACCATTAATTCAGCCTCGTAATGAAAACAAAAACATGTCAGCCAGGAGAGGGGCATATTTAGTTTCCAGAGACTGTTAGAGAAAGATGGAAGACCATACAAAGTTTGAAAATAACAGACATTGCTTTATTAGATCCTTAGGTCAATTTAAGGGCTCATTTCATTGTCACCTTTAGAAATGTAAACAGCGTCAGGATGACCGCTAGGGAATTAACTATTGGTGAGCAATATGCTAGCCAATGCCGTGCTGATGCATGTCTCATAAAAAACCGTTTCAGTACAATAGGTCAAAGCTAATGTGAAATCAGCAGACAAAGCGGGATACCGCAAAGACTAAGAATTATCAATGGCGAGGCTTATAGCCGTTGGGGGTCATTGAAGAGGTCGTGAGATTTGTCAGATCTACATCTGTCCATCGTAAAGTCGGCTGACGAAGAGAGATATAGTCAGGAATCATGGGATTTACTTCGCTTGAATGACCGGATGTATTGACACGGTCCGAATGGCGCCACTTTTGTATATATATGTATCTTTGTAATCGTGTTTTAGTACGCATGAGTATCCATTATGGAGTCACTTAAGCTAGTAAATGTTTCCCTGATAACGCAACTGAACAGGCCTTTTAATAGTCAATAGCATCGACTGTATAAACAAACTCAGAGAAAGTTTGATTGTGTCCCCATAACTATTCCAAATTGGATATTTCAATCCCAGTATCTAGTTGAAAGGTGGGGTGGGAGCCTGTTAATAGGGGGTATTTAATAGTGTTTTCTGAAAAATATCATGCAAAAATATGTTTACACAAAATAATAAGTTTCTTTTTATATTCACATAGAAAATGTTTTACATTTCACTAACAGAAAGTAGATGTTGTAAAACTATCAGAGAGTTTCAACTGTTTAATTATGGGGAAGTTTTAGAGTCGTCAAAGTAATCT